AGTTTTTTTCCTTGTACACACTGGAGGAACATTTGTGAGATCTTGTGGTTGGTAGAGAGTGGTGGGGTCCTTGCGTACATCTTGCACATGTTCCTCGCAGGATCTCTCAGAGAGAAAAGTAGATTGCACAGCCAAAAGCAGATGTGCATGGGATAAAGATTTCAGTAGGTTATTGGTGGGACTTCAAAGCGGTATCTCTGGATACTAGCATAACGGTAAGGACTACAGTCCACTCTAACCAACCTCACAACATGGATGACGTCACGCTTGAATTCTTCAAAAATACTCAATTTTTCTCTACCGCTCGGCAATGCGAAGACCGCATGTTAGGATCAGGCCACACCAAAAGATCGTGGATCTTGATCTGAGAATGCGACCATACCCAGCTTATTCATCAAAGTTAGCAGTCTCTAACTACTACCTTTTTGATCCCTACCGCATCCTTAAGAAGGCAAAAATTCCGAAAATCGACGTCTACTCAAAAATGAGGTCCACCTCTTCTTCTTATCATAGTTGCCGAAAAATTGGTCAAAGTGTCGCAGGACTTTTCGAACAACCTAATATATTATTTCTACTATTTTGGGAGGGAGTAGCAATCTACATCGTCACAGTTGTAGGAGGCAAGACCCATGAATGCGAGGCAGATTTTCTCAAAAAAAGTGATATGAGAAAAAATATCTTCGACGCGATACTAAACAATTGAATTTCCGGACGAATTCATTGTTACGGCGGATAATTTGTTAGCATGGTATAACAGTCAAAATTATCAGTATTTAAGATAAGGACTTTTGTGAAATGACGAAACTGCACGTATAAACCTCCTATAAACAGCACCTCCATCGAGAAGCTGACAGATACAACAAAAAAAGGAAACTTGTTGAAAGAATTCACATACCATGAAACAATTCATTTGATTCATGCACTTGAGAATTCACTTAACAGACAGATTGAACTTGTTCAATAAACAACATCACACATCGACACAAAAGATAGATCTGAGAACGGAGAATTAAGATCTGAGAACCAGTAAAGTGAAACGAATCGGTCGTATCAGCTGTTTCCCATCAAGGACAACCTACCAACGAACAATGCCTACGCCTGCGTTCACTGATGTGTCGTCAGTTATTAGCCCGTCCCCTCCACACGCAGCGGTGGGCGGTGCCAATGGAATAGGGTTGGGCCAATGAGAGGAACGGCGGCGTCCTCGGTCTCCTCACTCGCTTTCGCGCCGTAACAGTGGTGCAATTACTGCCCTTGCGGATCAGGCTACCTGCTCGCGAATAGAGGGAACTCTCAAGTGAACGCGGACACCGCCTTTAAACATAATCTGCAACAAAAGTTCTGCCAGGAATTGTACTATGTCGTAAAGTTTTGCAACGGCTATTTTTTCGGTTTTCTGATTCCTGGATTTCTGTAAACCAGTGAAATTGAACAAATACTTCCCCTCTGTAGGTTTATTTACAAGCACAATCGAATGGCACTAGCCGTTTTTCAGTGAACTAGTGCCAGCCTCGAAAATACAAAATTCGGGGTATGTCGCATAGTTTTGCAACGGAGCGTATTGAGAAAATCTATTGCAGCAAGGTTTTGGGGTTTCTAACAATCTCTTGGCTCTCATTTGTTCATGACGACTTGCAATGCGTTCGAACTTGCTTGTAGCCAGGTTAACTTTCATGGTGAGATCCAAATTAGTAAAAGTTTCAACGATGCCCTTTTTTAGAACTTCCAATTCATGAAAATTTTGAAAAATGGCTCAAAATTTTGCTAAAAGCGCAAAAGTGGGCGTGGTTTGAAATGGTGGAATTCATTGTATCGGTGCATAAGTACGCGTCTATGAGTACCTCCATTCTGCGAAGAGTGGATGTGAAATTAACAAAGCTGAAAAGTTACGAAAATTCGAAGTTTGCGATGCATTCTTGAAAAGGTGGGCTGAGTCGGCCATGCGTCGATGTGCATAACAGCATAAGTCAAAAAGGTTACAGAAGTTATGAAATAAAACTTGAAAATTTATGAGCGCTCTGAAATGTGGGACGTGTCGTCTTTTCGATTAATTAATTTCGGTCTAAAAACTGTCATGAACTCGATTAAAAAAAGGTGAATTTGGTTTGAAAAAGGTGGATTTGGTTCGAAAAGTGGTGAACTCGAAAGTGAAAATGGTATGTATTGTCCATTCACCGTTCTTTTGAGTTTCTTCTGTGTCTTGGAAATGACGGAATGGCCCGAGTGCTGTCTTCCAAAAGGAACAATCATACTCCGTTTTCGTCTTTTCAATTCTCGATACAATCGCTAGAATTTCGCTCTTGAGAGATGTTTCTTTACTAAGTTTATACTGAATGTTTGGTACATATTAGCCTTTTTCACCAATAACAAATTGGGTTCCTGCTATCAGCATAGCCGTCTAGAACTGAAACACTTCGCCGAATTGGTCGGGTACGATTTTCAGTCCGCTATGAGCGTGTACCGGCAGCATTGCAGCGATGTTCCAGTGGTTGAGCCACACCAGGCTATTTGATTTCAGTTCTAGCAATTAGAACTGCCAAAAAAGCAACTGCTCAGAGAGTTGCTGGAAATCGGTGCCGAATAGTTATAAAAGGTAAACAAAATGTTGAGAAGCAGAAGTAGAGGTAGGATGTGCTGCGGGTCCATTTACACTCCAGAACTGAGAATCGTCAGCACAAGATCCTCCATCCCCTCCCCCTTTTTTTATTATGGTGTCACTCTATCCCATAAAAGGCAATGAATAAAACTTCGATTTGAAGAGTCGTTCACTGCATATTAGGAGCTGTTCAGCTCTTCCTGTTTCGCTTAGTTTCCCTCTTGCCTGGTAGTTTAGGTCTTTGGGAGTGGAACATAGCTCCCTAGGACCATCCCATCAATTCCTAGATGATTTAAAGATCCCACTACAGAAGATTTTGCTAGTCCTGGCTGTGTCGTGACCTGGATGTCCGAATAGTGCAGAAAGATATCTCGATATTCACCCTAGAGAGCTTCACTTGCCTGAGGGAATCATGTGATGTGATAGGTATGATAATAATAAACAATACTCTTTTCTAGACAGAATTTGTGGCAGCCTTCTTGTGCGTAGAGATGGAGAGAACTTTGGTAGCGCAACCTGCTTCAGCTCGTCTGCACCCTTCCCCCGAGACAGTGGTTCCTTCCTCTGCTATAGCTGAGCCTTATTAAAGAGAAGGCTACTATCACAGGTGATCACGAAGAATGCTGCCTTTCTTCACAGTTTGCTTAACTGCCCTAGCACACAGCTCCGCACGAAAACAGCTGGAGTCTGTGCCACCCGCGTCAGAGTCGAAATGAGCATGTAACGAGTGGTTTGTGACGATCGCATCAGGCAGTTTCAGACTGAACAAGTGTGATTTCGTGTTCAGGAGGTCGAGCTACCTCAGCTGATAAGTTTTGACCGACTTTGGTAATTTTGAGTTTTGGCGCCGGCGCCTGTGGCGCGGACGCCAGGATTTTTCGGACCGAGCGGATGCAATACTCGGTTTTAGGAGGCCAAACTACCCCAGGCCACAACTTTAAAGCCAATTCTGTCCACAGAGAAAACGTCGGTCAAAAATTGGCCTGATTCCGGATGAGTGGGACAGTAAAGGTCAAATAGTGCCAGGACTCTTGGTAAAACTGTGTGCAGCAGCGCTGTATGCTGACCCAATCAATGCTCTAGGTTTCCATAATATTTTCATTATACAACTGAACTGCGCTTAATCTGTAAAAATATTGAGTATTTAGCAGTGCGCGATGTAGACTACCCCTCCAAGTGGAGCTGAAAGGGATTCTACTGGAGAGGCTAACTTCATGAGAAGGACGATAATCTGGCATAGAGTAGATTATGATGCAACACCCAGAAGCTCTCGATAAACTAGTTAAAGATCGGCGTGATGGTGCTTCTAAAGGATAGAATTTGCACAGATGAAGTTTGTAGTTTCTAATAGTTTACCAATCTGGCTGACGAGCACTTCTGCGCGCATGGTTCAATCCATGGCTGTGACGCGAAATTATGAATTTGGTGAGCTTTCAGCCCCATTGTAAGCCTCTGTCAATCGTTATCACTCCCTGCCATCTAACAATAGTGTTTCTCCTTGGCCTCCCATATCACCTATCAATTTGAACTCTCTGCGACTGATTTGAAGGAAGTTATGAATTTCCGGTCAACACACACACACACACACACACACACACACACACACACACACACACACACACACACACACACACACACACACACACACACACACACACACACACACACACACACACACACACACACACACACACACACACACACACACACACACACACACGCACGCACGCACGCACGCACGCACGCACGCACGCACGCACGCACGCACGCACGCACGCGCAAACTTAGCGAATTATATATAGTAGCATTAGGATACCAAAACGATTGTTGGGTGGAAAACCTAGTTAAAACTGGCCTGACATAGCTCAAGGTTTAGACCTGGACCCTCTAGCGTTTTTGTTGCTGAAGATTGGGAATCTGAGGAGAACCAGGGAAACAAGTGGGAGAAACGAGCTTACCAGTGCCACAGGATTAGCAGAACGATTCCACAGGCTATTGTTGTAGTTACTGATTAAGCTGCCTTTACAGCAAGTAAAATAAGGAACTGCACGTCTCACTGTCAAAATTCAGAATAATGCCGAGGTTTTATGAAGCGAGAAGCTAGGCATTACCTCAGCGATAACTTTTTCGAGCGCCCTATCCAAATTAACAACCTTTCCATTATGGAACACATGCTTCTTACGGCTTGTGTAGGATGTCCAATATGTTGTACCAGTTGCACTTTTCTTTGATCTCGCCAATGACCACTTATAACAATTGTTTTCTATGACGAAGTGGTCAGCGCTAAAGACGCCCGCAATTTCAGTTTTCATGCGCAAGTGCAGATTTTAGTCCAGTCCAATCGCAATAATCGCAACCATGCTGACTATAAAAGCGCACAAATGTTTCCAATCGACACCTGACAATGTTCGAGGAGAAGTTCGTCATCGCAGTGGCCTCTGCCTGCTCTTCACTGACTATCGCTGCCTTCCTAATCGTCATCCCTTCACTCTACAACACTATCAACGAGACCCACAATGAAGTCATTGAAGGTGTAGCAGCGTTTCGCGTCGAGACCGATTCTGCTTGGAACCGGATGATGGACGTCCAAGTGGAGGTGGCACCTCCAAGCAAGCCGCGTGATAACCCCTTCAGCTCCATCTTCCGAAACAAGAGACAGACTGGTCTCCCGTCTTTCTGTCAGTGCACTCCACTAACAGTAAACTGCCCACCTGGACCTCCTGGACCTCCGGGACAACCTGGAATGCCTGGCAAGTTTACATACATTTTTTACCCGATTGGATCAATGTTAACGTTAAAATTTCAGGACAGCCCGGCATGCCTGGTCAACCTGGTGCTGATAACATGAATGTATACGCTCCTATAATCTGCCCTCCTCCCGACACAAGTTGCATACAGTGCCCACCTGGACCTGCAGGTCCACCAGGACAAGATGGATTCCCTGGGGCCCAAGGACCCAACGGAAATCCGGGACTCCCTGGACCTCCCGGTCAAGATGGACAACCAGGACCTCCAGGACCTCCTGGAGACGCCGGAATGCCAGGAAATCCCGGAGTGGTTGGACAGCCTGGACAGCCTGGACAAGACGGTACGACATCAACTCCAATCCCAGGAGGTCCTGGGCCTGTTGGACCTATGGGACTTCCCGGTAATGCTGGAGCACCTGGAGAACCAGGAACCCCAGGAAATGATGGAGCACCTGGTCCAGCTGGGCAGCCTGGAGCACCAGGACAAAATGGAACTGATGGTCAACCAGGAAATTCAGGAGGAAATGGTGCTCCCGGACCTGATGCCGCTTACTGCCCATGCCCACCTCGTTCAACCACCCTGGTCACTCATTAAGATTTTGTAAAGAGTCAATCACGTCGCGAATTCATTACATGAAATGCTAATAGTTTGTCTTCGTGTTGACATTCATTCAATAAAGTGATTGAATTTTCCAATTGTATGTTCGAGAATCGCGTCGCGAAAAGCGAGACGGTATTGCTGCCGATGTTGAATGACACTGAGTTGTCTGAATAGCCTCCGATGATATTAAGGGTGGTTGAAAAAGCATTGGCGCGGTTAGGCTTGGGGGGAGGCGCCAAATGGTACTCAGTATGATATGGTAATTGGGCGACTTTGATTACAGGAGTTTTGCAGGTCTCTGTGAGAAAGCTTATTCAAGCTTTCTCACAGAGACCTGCAAAACAGGAATATCATAACTTCACAAAGGTTCACCAATGCAATGTCTGTAAGTCAACATGAACTAGAAAAAGGAACCAGCGAACATGCGAAATGCACCTCCCAACCCCTGGGCCGAGAGACGCTCAAAACTTTAGAAGAAAACCGATCGGTTCAAGCGCATGGCCCACGACAAGTAGCGATGGTAGTGGTATTGGAATTCGGAACAAAACTCGGCAAAGGACTCGTTCTCAAAGAGGAAATGCACAAGGGACCTCAAACCTCAAGGGCTAACTGCTGGAGGCCCGAGGGGCCTTTAGTGGGACCCCCTAGAGCCTCCGGTTGTTCGAGAACAAGGCAAAAATTCGCGTGTTTGGACGAATCCAGCCAGCTGTCATGTCGCCCTTCGATACCCCAGAAGGCAAGGAAGCTTCCATTCCGTGCCAGTCATCCGGTAGCATCGTTTTTGGTTGCGAGGATGGAGTCCGGGGAATTACTGGAAAAGGAAGGTGTCACTGGAGCAAGTTAGCGCCTTACCCTGCAACATTCCTCTCCCCCTCCCCCCCATTTTATTGGTACCAGTTTATTAAGTGCCAACTACCCCTCCCCCTTGGAAACATTTTAAATATTCATGGGTCATCGCGGACAGTCAGGTTGAGGGAAAACATGTTCGTTAGGAGCTATTTTCATCAGGTAAAAACCTTTTTGAAGTTTCCTGGCAATGATACGAGGTTAATGATAGAGAACGATATGACACCTGTTTCATTCTGAGTGGCCATGTAGCATGTAGCAGTTGAATAATGGCAATCAAGACATTTCGTGTGCGTCAAGAAGTAGTCCCCAACTGGAACGTCATCGGGAAGAAAAAAAAGGGTATTTGAGTTGGTTGTGGAAAGTACTACTAAAACTTTTTGTCGCACGGACCGTGTTTTTTTGTTCAAGTTTTTTCTGTTTTGTGGTCACATAATCACGTGGTGTGTTTCGAATATCGTGATGATTCCCTTCCCTCCTTTTTTTTAATTTTTGGTCAAGTATGTCCTCGGTGTAGAAGTGCGCTCTCTAACGCTAATTTCGTTTTCTATAGAATAGCTTAGCCTTCACCAATTTTTTTCCAATATCACCCTGATCACGTTGAAAGCAGGCTGACCGTGGTGAGTCACTCGGTTGACAAGTGCCCTGATACATCGTACTGTCCGCAGTTTCGTCTTTTCTTCCAAGTTGTCAAGCATGAATGCGACCTTAGGCTTTGTAGGTGGGGGGGGGGAGGATCAGCACATTCGCTATTTCACATCCTCGTATTCATTGCTTCACAAAAGTTGACAGGTATTCCTCCAAACTTTGAGTGGTATCACTTTATGCCTTTACAACTTACCATTAGAGCACCACATCGCGTCGCGTGCCAGAATCTCTCGATGGCGCTCGTCCAGAAGGCTGTGGCGGAGTTTTATAATAGTATTTAATATGCTCTTTAATATGGTGGTAGAAATGTCCGATTAGAATTTATAAAGTGTAACTTATAGCGCCACGAAAGTCAATGAAGAAAAGTGACTTTTTTGCCCCCCCCCTGTACATCCAAAAACACACCAACAGACAAACTTAGCAAAGACTAGATCGATCCTTGAAAACTTTATTGCGGTTCAGTGCAGTTAACGCAAAGAATCACAGAAGCCACATGATCTTGGACACACTTTCTTCTTGGTAGCCTCCGATAGTGTACCCTTGCAGAAACCACTCGGTACAAGAGAGAGGCAACTGAAAGCATCTTCTGGTAATTTTTGACGGGGAACCAGCGATACGGGAACGTCTTACGAATGGTTGTCCTCGCATTTAGAGTCGGTTTGTATGTTTATGAACGGAACAGGTCGCCTTGTTGTTGTCGTAGTTGTAGTAGTAGTGGTGGTAGAAGTCGTAGGTCTTGGTGAATTTGCAGGAACTAGATGCTTTAGGGTTGATCTTAGTTATTTCAAGACAAGAAATAATAAAGCAGTACCGTGTCGGTATTCAAGCACTGTCGTCGTTTTGACAATCCTGTTATATGTCATTATTGGGACACGGTTTATGTAAGAACGAAGAATTGTTCCAGCCGCGTCAGGTGAGCAGAATCTGCAATTCACTGCGCCTTTCAGGGCTTCCGCATGACATGGTTTTGTGAATCTTGATTCTTGTTCTGTGAAAGACTGCCAAACAGTCATTCCGATCGAATTCTTCCTCTTCATTCGAGTCGACCTTCTCACTCTCTTAATTTATACTAACAACATACCTGTAACCAGTGAGCGTTTGGTCCTCATTGGTCTTGATCTCTACACCTGCGTAACTGCATCCGTCAACAGAAAGACCTTTTGTGAAATTCACAAGTCTCACTTCGATTTCGGTTCCGTTAGGAGACTGCAAAATACGAGCCAGTCATAATTAGTGGCCTGATGAGTTTGTCATCACTGGACACTCAGAGATAAGTCATCAGAAATCGCCCTTTCATTTAGCCCATGCTAATCAAAATTACGGTGAGCATGCCATTTGAGTATTGACCTGCTTGTTTGCGGACGTAAGACTTACTTCAATCCAGTAGTGACATGTCTCAAAGTCTTCTTGCTCGTCACGGCCAAGGCCAACAGTATTCTCAAGTGTCGTCCAATTAGGCGAAGCTTTAATTGTATCGCCGCACCCTGTTGATGGCTAAAGTAAACGCTTTCGGCACCAATTCCTTTATGACGAGTATATCTAATTCCTTCCTCACTCTCTCAGTGCATCGGGGTCCAGCGTAACCACCAGGACAGATGCATTTCTGGCAGTCTCGTGGGTGAGGAAATCCGCCCATCTCGCATTTGACGGATGTGGCTTTGTTGCAGTTTTCTGAACTTTGTAACAGAAAGCGCTATAAGAAGAGCGGAACTTGTTTCAGTTGTTAGCCATTTGTCAGCATGTTCAGGATGGTGGAGGTAGGGTGGCAATGAGTGGCGCTGCTTACCGAACATACTTCTGTTCACCAATTCCCGCATATTGAAATCACCTTTGTTATTAGGGTCTTTTACAACATGGGCATTGGTACTAAACTTGTCTGGGAAGTTAACAAGAAATGAGTTACATCGGCTGGCCTTGTCCCACGTTGCACAGGACATCTCAGAAGCCACCTAAATGCCACTATAACTTTGAAGAAGAGCAGAATGAGTGGTGTATGCCGAAAAGGTAAGAGTTACCGCTAAAAATTCTAGTCCTTGCCTTTTTTTGCGGACCAACAAGCACTGAATGGAATTTTTTTGAGAGAATTCCACCCGCTAAGGATCAGCATCTGCGAACGCGATATCTGTGAAAAGGTGTTTTGAAGCTGGCTGTCAAACCTTTGCATCCATAGTGTTCATTGAGCATTGAAAGTTCGATGAATGAAATGAATGGAGACCCAAGGGTTTGCTGATAGTCGATATCGAACGGAACCATTGTTGGCTTTTTGTTGAACGATGCACTAAACAACAGTGAGTCATCATCTAGATATGATTCTCAACATTGCATATGAGATACCAATTTTGACTTGTTTCGAATTTGTGGGATAACGATTGCATCATTGAAGCACCGTGGTCATGATGCGAAAGTGGTTTCATTTTTTTCCAAACCTACCTAGTTCCGCCGTAGTGCATAATGCTGCCGTAGTCGTATGTCATGTTGTAATTGTCGTTGGTTTTCGTTGTTTCTTTATTGAATTGACTTAGCCAGTCTACCTGAAAGTACCACTCTCCACGATTTCGAGTATTCCTCATTTCTCTTCAATAACGACCGAGAATTGATTTATTTTTTGAAGACTATCACGTAGATTGCCAAAAATTGTGGTAAGGCGGATTTGTGAGCCAAACCATCCTCATCCTCTAATCGATTCTGTCATTAGTCAAACTCTTGAGGTAATGTACAGAAGCTCCAGAACACATGAAGCTTTCAATGTTTTCAAAATTTGCTTAAGTTCCTGCTGCACCAATATGTTTTCCCCCACAACGCGTTAAGCTAACCTTCTTCAGCTTGGGAAAATGCGAATTTACCATGCTACTCCAGTCGGCACATTTCGATATAGTGGAAACTCTGTTACACGCCCTTGCATTTAAGAGCGGGTACTAGCATAAGGGCGCACGTCGCTCGCAGTCATCTTAAGGTAATTCGGCATAGGGCAATTTAGTGTTCCGGAACCGTGGGGGGTCAATGAATTTTCAGTCCTGAGTTCAAAAATGTCACTCAAGTTGGTGTGTCTCGCAGGTGAGTTCAGGAATGACACACTCTCTTCATAGTTGAGGAACTAAAAAACGAAACGAAACTTATGCTGCAAGAAGTGGGTCGGGAAGAGGGTATTCCATTTTGTAACGTAGTGATACAGAAGTCAATAGGAGCAACGATTAATAAACTCTAGTTGTGATTTACAAGGGGCTCTGTCAAGCACGTACCTTGATATTGTGCTTGTTTACCGTGATGAACTCGTCACGATCGTGTCGGGACATTGTATGGAAGAAATCCAAGAGCGTGACCAGCTCGTGCGCAGCGATAGATACCGTTTCACAACCACGTCCCAGTGACAGTTTCTGTTCACCGCCGAGCTTTCCCACGTAAGACCAACATCCATCTTCCGGGAATACCATGATGCGATCTTTGGCTGAAACAATAACCTTTTATGGTGCAATCCAGACTGTTGGAAGGCCGAGTATCGTATCTAGAGCAAGGAAAACACATCTCTATAAATTTCAGTTTTCTCTTACCGAATGGGTTCCGTGTGAAATTGATGCAAGTATCCTGTTCCCATAGCTTCGCTCCTTTTTCAAACGAACTTCTCATCTGCCTGCCTTCAATGATCACATTGTTTGTATTTTGCCCATTTCCAACAAGCGCTACATTTTTACACATACTTGCGAGCTTATGGAAGTAATAATTCACTCCTTCTGACCATAACATATTTGGATATCTATGATCCTTGAACGCTTGGCGTTTTGCGCGATTTTCACCGGCAACCTCATCTTCTATATCTTGCACAATCTCCTCGGCTTGCTCCCTTCAACGGCGATGATAAGGAAGTTAACGAGATAGTACTAGGCGTTGATTAATTGACATACTCTGTTAGCACCATGTCGCTCTGGTAGAGATCCTGGCCAACCTGACTGTATTCGTTGACCTCAGTGATGGAGTCTCCTTTCTCTGCGACTTTATCCTTCTTGATGGGTCGCAATCTCTGTAAAAATCAATCCGTTGTGGGTTGTACACTTATTGACCTAGTAGACGGTTTTTCACCCAAAGACACCCCATTCACAAGAATTTTGAAAAGTTTTGCCCTTTTGCCAAAATTTTGGAAGTTCTATGGCCTTCTGTCGTAGAGAAGTGAACTGTCAATGTTACCTTCAACCTTTCCTCGAGCGATTTCATCATTTTTGGTGTTAACTCCAATGTCTTCAAAACCTTGTCCTTCATACTTCTGATCTTGTCGCGGATTTTGAACAGTGCCGTGTTTTCGAAGAGCTGTAATTGTATGAATAGGAAACGAGAAAGGGCTGTCAGAAGCTAAACCATATAGATGTCTACTGAACTCGGAGACGGAATAAGAAAAACTGAGAAGAATAGGATACAGAGCATTGATAGGTAGAGAGAAAAAGGGAACCTTCTTGAATCCAACGATAGTTGCATTCTTTAGTTTCTGTCCGAAACTGCCTTCACCGGAGAACACTCCTTTCACTTTGTCTACAATGCCTCCATCGACAGCGGCAATCAAGAATAAGGTGAGCAATATCAGCCTCATTCTGAACTGTGAAAACTATTTTCTGTAATATTAGCTACAACTCTACCCATAGAACACATCATTGCGAAACGGAAACGGAAGTCAAATGTATAAGATTATGTGGAGATGACACACTGCACTGCTGCTCTCCGAGTTTATATACATCTCCTCCGACTGTGCTTCAGAATAGGACGGCTGACAAAATATGAACTAATGTCATCTGATAGCGGAACTAAATACAGAAACCCTGAACAAAATCTTGTATGTGTGTCGTTTTCTGTTTGAACAAGAACTCATGGAGGAATGACGTGGGAGTGTTCCATAGCAAGAAGGGATGCTGTGAGCGGACCTATGATGTCAAATCAAAGATGGAGAAGCTAAACGCAAAACTGCCGTACAAAGTCGCACACAGAATTTGCCAGTACTGATTCCGAATTCCAATATCATCAAAGCATAGGACGACTAAACGGGATCAGTTTGGTTACGGTAACACCGTGAAATGACCCAGAAGGACCTATAAGATTACAAAGACACATGTGTACAAAAAACGGTTGTATTTCGACGAAAAAACCGTTAGTTCATTATTTCAGGTCGTAGCCAGCTGCTTAGTCCATTGACTGACAAACTACTATCCTGACCCACTCGAGATCTTGTTCGTCCTGAGCTCTATTGCGATTGAGGGGATCAGCTGGCAAATTCTGTGTGCGACTTTGTACGGCCGTTTTGCGTTTAGCTTCTCCATCTTTGATTTGACATCATAGACCCGCTCACAGCATCCCTTCTTGCTATGGAACACTCCCACGTCATTCCTCCATGAGTTCTTGTTCAAACAGAAAACGACACACATACAAGATTTTGTTCAGGGTTTCTGTATTTAGTTCCGCTATCAGATGACATTAGTTCATATTTTGTCAGCCGTCCTATTCTGAAGCACAGTCGGAGGAGATGTATATAAACTCGGAGAGCAGCAGTGCAGTGTGTCATCTCCACATAATCTTATACATTTGACTTCCGTTTCCGTTTCGCAATGATGTGTTCTATGGGTAGAGTTGTAGCTAATATTACAGAAAATAGTTTTCACAGTTCAGAATGAGGCTGATATTGCTCACCTTATTCTTGATTGCCGCTGTCGATGGAGGCATTGTAGACAAAGTGAAAGGAGTGTTCTCTGGTGAAGGCAGTTTCGGACAGAAACTAAAGAATGCAACTATCGTTGGATTCAAGAAGGTTCCCTTTTTCTCTCTACCTATCAATGCTCTGTATCCTATTCTTCTCAGTTTTTCTTATTCCGTCTCCGAGTTCAGTAGACATCTATATGGTTTAGCTTCTGACAGCCCTTTCTCGTTTCCTGTTCATACAATTACAGCTCTTCGAAAACACGGCACTGTTCAAAATCCGCGACAAGATCAGAAGTATGAAGGACAAGGTTTTGAAGACATTGGAGTTAACACCAAAAATGATGAAATCGCTCGAGGAAAGGTTGAAGGTAACATTGACAGTTCACTTCTCTACGACAGAAGGCCATAGAACTTCCAAAATTTTGGCAAAAGGGCAAAACTTTTCAAAATTCTTGTGAATGGGGTGTCTTTGGGTGAAAAACCGTCTACTAGGTCAATAAGTGTATAACCCACAACGGATTGATTTTTACAGAGATTGCGACCCATCAAGAAGGATAAAGTCGCAGAGAAAGGAGACTCCATCACTGAGGTCAACGAATACAGTCAGGTTGGACAGGATCTCTACCAGAGCGACATGGTGCTAACAGAGTATGTCAATTAATCAGCGCCTAGTACTATCTCGTTAACCTCCTTATCTATCGCGGTTGAAGGGAGCAAGCCGAGGAGATTGTGCAAGATATAGAAGATGAGGTTGCCGGTGAAAATCGCGCAAAACGCCAAGCGTTCAAGGATCATAGATATCCAAATATGTTATGGTCAGAAGGAGTGAATTATTACTTCCATAAGCTCGCAAGTATGTGTAAAAATGTAGCGCTTGTTGGAAATGGGCAAAATACAAACAATGTGATCATTGAAGGCAGGCAGATGAGAAGTTCGTTTGAAAAAGGAGCGAAGCTATGGGAACAGGATACTTGCATCAATTTCACACGGAACCCATTCGGTAAGAGAAAACTGAAATTTATAGAGATGTGTTTTCCTTGCTCTAGATACGATACTCGGCCTTCCAACAGTCTGGATTGCACCATAAAAGGTTATTGTTTCAGCCAAAGATCGCATCATGGTATTCCCGGAAGATGGATGTTGGTCTTACGTGGGAAAGCTCGGCGGTGAACAGAAACTGTCGCTGGGACGTGGTTGTGAAACGGTATCTATCGCTGCGCACGAGCTTGGTCATGCTCTTGGATTCTTTCCATACAATGTCCCGACACGATCGTGACGAGTTCATCACGGTAAACAAGCACAATATCAAGGTACGTGCTTGACAGAGCCCCTTGTAAATCACAACTAGAGTTTATTAATCGTTGCTCCTATTGACTTCTGTATCACTACGTTACAAAATGGAATACCCTCTTCCCGACCCACTTCTTGCAGCATAAGTTTCGTTTCGTTTTTTAGTTCCTCAACTATGAAAAGAGTGTGTCATTCCTGAACTCACCTGCGAGACACACCAACTTGAGTGACATTTTTGAACTCAGGAAAATTCATTGACCCCCCACGGTTCCGGAACAGTAAATTGCCCTATGCCGAATTACCTTAAGATGACTGCGAGCGACGTGCGCCCTTATGCTAGTACCCGCTCTTAAATGCAAGGGCGTGTAACAGAGTTTCCACTATATCGAAATGTGCCGACTGGAGTAGCATGGTAAATTCGCATTTTCCCAAGCTGAAGAAGGTTAGCTTAACGCGTTGTGGGGGAAAACATATTGGTGCAGCAGGAACTTAAGCAAATTTTGAAAACATTGAAAGCTTCATGTGTTCTGGAGCTTCTGTACATTACCTCAAGAGTTTGACTAATGACAGAATCGATTAGAGGATGAGGATGGTTTGGCTCACAAATGCGCCTTACCACAATTTTTGGCAATCTACGTGATAGTCTTCAAAAAATAAATCAATTCTCGGTCGTTATTGAAGAGAAATGAGGAATACTCGAAATCGTGGAGAGTGGTACTTTCAGGTAGACTGGCTTAGTCAATTCAATAAAGAAACAACGAAAACCAACGACAATTACAACATGACATACGACTACGGCAGCATTATGCACTACGGCGGAACTAGGTAGGTTTGGAAAAAAATGAAACCACTTTCGCATCATGACCACGGTGCTTCAATGATGCAATCGTTATCCCACAAATTCGAAACAAGTCAAAATTGGTATCTCATATGCAATGTTGAGAATCATATCTAGATGATGACTCACTGTTGTTTAGTGCATCGTTCAACAAAAAGCCAACAATGGTTCCGTTCGATATCGACTATCAGCAAACCCTTGGGTCTCCATTCATTTCATTCATCGAACTTTCAATGCTCAATGAACACTATGGATGCAAAGGTTTGACAGCCAGCTTCAAAACACCTTTTCACAGATATCGCGTTCGCAGATGCTGATCCTTAGCGGGTGGAATTCTCTCAAAAAAATTCCATTCAGTGCTTGTTGGTCCGCAAAAAAAGGCAAGGACTAGAATTTTTAGCGGTAACTCTTACCTTTTCGGCATACACCACTCATTCTGCTCTTCTTCAAAGTTATAGTGGCATTTAGGTGGCTTCTGAGATGTCCTGTGCAACGTGGGACAAGGCCAGCCGATGTAACTCATTTCTTGTTAACTTCCCAGACAAGTTTAGTACCAATGCCCATGTTGTAAAAGACCCTAATAACAAAGGTGATTTCAATATGCGGGAATTGGTGAACAGAAGTATGTTCGGTAAGCAGCGCCACTCATTGCCACCCTACCTCCACCATCCTGAACATGCTGACAAATGGCTAACAACTGAAACAAGTTCCGCTCTTCTTATAGCGCTTTCTGTTACAAAGTTCAG